TTCTTTCTTTCTTTCTTTCTTTCTTTCTTTCTTTCTTTCTTTCTTTCCTTCTTTCTTTCTTTCTTTCTTTCTTTTTTTTTTTTTTTGCTTCTTTACTGTTCCTTAGTTCTGTTTTGGAAGTTGGATAAGAAAAAAGCTAATGTAATTAGTTAAATGTTGTTTTCCTCTAACATGGATGCCCTTGTTCAATTCAGACTGTACTTTCTAACACTGTAGCCTTATAAAAAGGGGAAGAAGTTTGTGCTCTAAATGTAAGTCAAGTCATCAATCATTTATTGGGTATCTCCTATGTGCCAGACCCTTTGCTGAGCACTAGGGATACGAAGGCAGAGGGTACAGATGAAAAAGATTGAGATGTCCGCCTCCCCGCCCCCTCAGCCACTGGGGAGAGCCAGGGAAAATGTGCTGAGTCCAGAGCTTGGCATGGCTGATGGCAAGGAGTTGTAGGGAGGCCAGGGTCAGTTAGTACTGGAGGGTAGGATGTAAAAAGACTATTAATAGCTAATGGCTAACATTTGTATAATGCTTTAAGGTTTGAAAGTGCTTTACAAATATCTCATTTGATATTCACAACAATCCTGGGAGATAGGTACTGTTATTATCTCCAGTTTAGAGGTGAGGAAACTGAATCAAGCAGAGCTTAGATGACTTGCCCAGGATCACAGTTTCTGGGGCTAGATTTGAACTCAGGTCTTCTTCTTGGCTTCAGCTCCAGTGTTCTATCCACTAAGCTACCAAGTTGCCTGAAAGACTAGAAAGGTAGGAAAGGGCCAGGTTATAAAGGGCTTTAAAAGCCAAACGGAAGATTTTATATTTAATCCTAGAGGTAATAGGGAGCCATTACAGTTTATTGAGTAGTGGGGTAGGGGGTTTCATGGTAAAACCTGCCTTTAGGAAGATCAGTTTGCCATCTGAATGGAGAATGGACTGGTATGGGGAGAGACATGAGACAAGCAGACCCACCTGCAGGCTCTAGAAATAGTACAGGGGTGAGATGATGAAGAACTGTTGGGGGAGGGGGTGGCGGTATCGGAGGAGAGAAGGGAGCATATTGGAGAAATGTTACAAAAGTAGAAATGACGGTACTTGGCAACTGTACTTCCAGACTCCATTCTGACTGGACTAGATGGGGAGTGGGGATGGATAAAGGGAGAACGAGGAATCAAGGATGACATCAAGTTGTAAGCCTGGAGGACTGGGAGGATGATGGTACCCTGGGTAGTAACAGGAAAGTTACGAAGAAGGGAGGCTTTGGGGGAGAAAATGCTTCAATTTTGTACGTGCTAAGTATGAGATGTTTATGAGGCGTCCATTTCAAGATGTCTGATACACATTTGGTGATGTGAAGCCAGATGTCAGGAGAGAGGCTAGGGCTGGATAAATAGATCTGAGAATCACCTCCATAGAGATGATCATCGTATCCATGGGAGCCGATGAGATCACCATGAGGGAGAAGAGAGCCCAGGACAGAGCCTTGGGGAATGCCTACAGTTAGCAGGTGCAGCCAGAATGAAGATCCGTCCAGCAAGACCAAGATCCAGGGAGTTGTTAGATTTGGAGGAGGAAAGCCAGGATAGGGTAGTGTCCTCAAAACCTAGAGAAAAGAGCGATCAGTAGCGTCAGAGGCTGCAGAAAGGCCTGGTAGCTTTGGAGGGGGCAATTTTAGTTGAATGATGAGATTGGAAGCCAGACTGCAGCGAGTTCAGAAGATAGTGAGAGGAGAGGGAGTGGAGACACATGTATTTAGCAGAAGTCAAATCAGCTCTCGAAATGAAATTATTAATTAATTTGAATAGAATGCACCTTTATACAGAAGATAGCTTAATAAGAAATAAAAAGTTTTATCTTGCTTCATAGGAGATTCCTATCAAGTAGCAATAAATTCATCTCAGGTCATCTTTTTTTTTGGTTTTTGTCATTCTTTAATGTTGAAGTAGTTTTATATTTAACTTTTCTGTAACTTGCCATCTTTCTGAAAGTTACTACCACTTCCTGTATTCCGTATCTGAATCGGCCACAATCTAGAGCAATGGCATTTAACGCTTATGCTGTATTAACCTTACGTTGATATCTGTTATTTCATTCAGAATACAGGGAATGCATCTTTTGTTAATGTATAATACTATAGTAAAACTTTTATAAAAAATATAGAAAAGAAATATTATGTTCAAATTACTCTCAGTAATACTAATGAAAATAAAGAACAGATAGTCTGTTAGCTTTTCACGACCTCTCATAGTTATAAATCTTTTTAAAAATTATATTGACCAAGACATATATATTTATGCATGTGTGCATATACACACATATATATTTATATGTACATATATGTATATACAAATATAGGCACCATGAATATAGTACAATTAATTATTTGTCACAATATGATTAATGAGTGATATCAGATTTGTCTGTTAAAGAAAAAAATTCATTCAGAGTCCTGTTCCATCTATAACATGCACATACCCTGAAATCTCAGTTGGAATTATTTATAATTCCATAAAATAATAACAGTTCCTTCCATCCATGTAGCACTTCATGTAAACTACTTTTGTATCATTTATCTTATTTGAACCTTCCCATAACTATCTATGAAAGATTAGGGAAAGGTATAATTATCCTAATTTTGCTTATAAAAGAAACTGAGACCCCAGCAAAGATGAATTACCTGCCTAATATCTCAAAGCAAGTTAATAATAGAGCCAAGACTCAGAAGTTTGCTGACTGTTCTAGCACATCACATTGCTTTTTTAGTTATTGCCCATTTTACTTCTTTAAATGAGGTGATTGAATTGAAGGCATTGTCACTTTTCTTTATACCACCTGTATTTCCACATTGGTTTTCTCTAGTATACTCATTCCACATATTATCATAGAGAGCAGCGGTCAGGACATTTATTGTACTTGACCTTGGTAAATGTCTCAAAGGTTTCAAGCCCCTCTGTTTAATCACAGCCATTTCTAGGAAAGTAGTCTTGCTAGTTTAGTCGGATGTTCTTATGATAAACTTTTCTGGTTTAGCCCCTGTAGTTTTACAACAGGTAAGATCTAATTTTAACAGAACCTGAAAATTATTCTTTGCAAACACTACAGAAATACAATCCAAAGTCTTCATGGGTTTGTTTGTTTTTAGGTTTTTCCCATTTGTACATGCAGCATGTTCATTACATGTACACTCTTGTTTTTCAAAAGTGACACATTAGGTGGTAGGATTATACAGAGGAGATGGTTTATGAAGTCTGTCATTGGTACCTGGGGCCATAAATATAGCTATGCCTCCGCTGTCTTTGTTCTACCTTCCCTGCACCTTCCTTTCTTTCCCACTCATCTACTTTTAACTCTGCAAGAGCACACACAGGCACACGCACCCATAGATTATACTGGGATTGAGTTTATGGATAGGACTTTAAAGCCACCAGCACCTCCGCTTACTAAAGACAGTATAGTTTACTAAAGGGAACAGATGTGAGCTTCTCCCGTTCTCGCACATCCCCGCCCCAAATCCAAATCTAAACCCATAAAACACTTTGAAAAACATGTAATCATTTGCAAAGAATCTGTAACATTATGTAG